TCAATAATTGATATCACGATTATTAAAAACGATTATCCATTTACTTTAAAAAAAAATGTTAACATTATGTTTTTAACAGTTGGTTACCCTGAACTTGAAGTATAATTCAACTGAAAAACCAATTTAAAAAAAAAAAAAAAATCGTTTTATTTAGATTATGTTGTTTTCATAATAGTTGCAAGCCAAAATAGTAATTGCGATTAAAATACGATTAATTGAGCAGCCCTACTGTGTAGTGATACTACCAATATTTTGTACATTGACTTGCATCATTATAGAAATGTTCTTCTAGTCTTTTTTCACTCAAAGCACTTTTTGTTAAAGTTGCAATTTAAAAAATAAAATAGTCCAAAACGAATTAATATAAATGAATGTGTTATTCTCTCTTCCACAGAAAAACTTGTCTCCCTTCTTCCTGAGTTTGTCGTCCCCTATATGATCCACCTGCTGGCACACGACCCAGACTTCACAAAACCTCAGGAATATGAACAGCTCAAAGATATCAAGGAGTGAGTGTTGACATATTTCTTTTTAATTTTATTGACTAAATCTGATCATACAGCTGAGAATGTTTGTTTTTTGAATCTTTATTTTACAAATAATATAAAAGTGTGTACTCTTGACTTACAACGCTCAAGAGACCCAGGTTTTGAGGAGTGAATCTGAACCCATTGATGTTCATTGTGCTGATGTGCCTAGGTGCCTGTGGTTCATGCTGGAAGTGCTGATGACCAAGAATGAGAACAACAGTCATGCTTTCCTAAGGAAGATGGTAGAGAACATCAAGCAGACGAAGGACGCACAGTGTCCTGAAGACGCAAAGGCCAATGAGGTACAAACAACATTTTCTTACTGTGTGTTCTGGAGACAGGGACCCATCTTAGATTAAAGTTCCTTCAGCACTTTTAAACCCTCTTCAGTCTGGGTCCTGAAGGCTGAAATCTCCAGAGCTGTTCACCATGTTTTCATTGACCTGAAACAAACCCAAGTGTCGTGCTAAAGGACAACATACCTGACTTTTGTTGATGCTTGACAGAGTTTACTGTGTGTTTCTCAAAGCTCTGTTATGGTTCCAATGATGATTAACATTTAAAACGATAACTCTTACAGACGGTAATTTCACCATGGTTTAATTTGAAAAATGTTACTTTTCATCCCAACTAAGAACTCTTTGCGGCAAGTCACCTAATTACACCAACAATCCTAACAGTGTGTCTCATGATGTCTTGGTTACAGAAGATGTATATTGTCTGTGACGTCGCTCTCTTCGTCATCGCCAACAAGAGCACTGCATGTCACCTGGACTCTCCGAAAGACCCCGTCCTACCCTCCAACTTCTTCATCGTGCAGGACAAGGCAATAAACACACACACAAACACACACATGGATTCGGATTTATGCTTCTCGGATGTAATACATAACCTTTTTCTTTCCTCTTGAAGATGAAACATTTCAAAGTCTTCTTTAAAATGACTGCATGGTGGATGGCTATGGGCACACTTCAAGATATAAGCGACATCCATGACCTCTGTGGTTTACCGGTTTATGCTAATCAAAGTTTTCTGCCGTGATGTCTTTCAACAGGAGTTCAAAAATGAAATAGAGTATCTGTCGACAGAGATGAGACAAATGCTGCTCTCTGGAAAGGTAAACGACCAACATTCCTATTTACTGAGCCACATCTCTGTTATGTGTATACTTTCATTTAACCTAAACATTTAAACATTTCTTTTGAATTTATTGTTTAGTTGAGTAAGAGAGAAATATTTGTTTTAGTTTAGAAACATCTATATATAATTATTAGTATTATCAGTATGAGTATAACTCTTCGGTCATCATGCCTGATCGAATGAGTTAAAAGGTTTAGGGCCATGATAAACAATCAAATGCTTATCAGTATAATACTAACGGCACCCTTGATCTCCTCCGTTCTTCACGCAGCCTAAAGTAGCTCCAGTGTTGGGAGCTGCGAACAAACCTCTGACGGTACCGGGGAGGAGGATCTTCAACAAGACCACCACCACCGCCGCCGCAGCAGCAGCAGCAGCAGCCCCAGACACAGCCAGCAACACCAGCACCAACTCCTCCCCACTGAACGCCTCCACCATCAAGAACAGGTACACACACACACACACACACACACACACACACACACAGTAATGTTGGCTTTAACAATATTCAAACATGTCTTGTAGTAACAACAATGCTGCCACCGAGTCATCAGAGAGCCCAGCGCAGGAAAACAACGAGAACCCAGTCATCAAGAACAGCGAGGGGAAGAAGGTAAGCTTGGAAAAAACATCAAAACGTGACAAAACACATATTTCCTCTTAACTTAAGGGCTTTTTATCCAGAAAGATAGTTTTGGTGTGAGTTGGCGAGATGCCTGCCTTATCTATAATACAAGCTCAAATACTCTGCTTGTGGCGTGAGATGTAAACGTAATGCTCTCCTCTTCGGCCGAGCTGTATTTGAGCTAGCGCACTGGAGTCTGTCATCGGTGGGTAAATGCACGCGAGCTCCTGTGCTGTGTTACGGTTGGTAAAAGAGAATGGTTCCTACATTAACTCCTCACAGCCAGTCTGTGGATTATCTTTAGTGCAGATTTCTGTTCAGAAACAGAGTGCCATTTCATTCCATTATAGTCGAGAGAAGGCACGCATCTCTACAGATTCCTCCAACACTCAGCAACTAATACAAAAATGTCGATTGATAAATATAGCACTACAGGTATGAGGAAAAATATATATATTTGTTTTTTAAGTAACTGTCCCTTTTAAGAAGGGTTATCCTGACTTTACTATCCTCATTGTATCTCTCAGAACGAGGCAAGTCAGAATGCGACTCCTGACGCAGAGACGGAAGCATCGACCGTCAAACGACGAGGCCGCCCTCCTAAAACAGCTGCTGCTGCCGCCGCCGTGGAGGTGGTTGAGAAAGAGGCTCCAGTGACACCGACAGGAGGAGCTGGCAGAGGCAGGAAGAGAGCAGCTGACTCCAAATCCAACCCCTCAGCAGACTCCATCAACATCAAGATGTCAAAACAGCAGCAGCAGAATGAAGAAGGGACAAAGAGACAGATCGACTTGCAGAGGTGAGAGTGGAGGAAAGAGACTAAGTTAAAAGGCTTCACAGCAGTGGTGCTGTTCAGTTTGAATTCCTGTTTCACTGATGGCTTATTATCCTATCGTGAGATTGAACAGAAGTCAGATCATCCTTCAGATGCCAACTTTCTTCTCTTCAGGTTTGTGAGCAGAGATAATGAGAAAGTGAGAAAGTGGGAGTCAGGAGAGGAGACAGGGAGAGCTGTAGGGTTAGTCGCCCCCTTCCTGGGCAGCGAGGGCGACGCTGAGATAGAGATGGAGTCCAGCCCAGAGATCAGGAAGGAGAGAGAGAGACACCCCCCCACAAAAGAGCAGAACAGCCAGGCAGACGGGGCCGACCTGTACAACCAGGAGAAACCAAGTCTTCAAGGAGGGGGGTTCCTTCTGGCAGGCAGGGAGAGCCCAAAAGTGGGCTGGCAGTGAGTTGGTTTAGCTCAGGATGTTTATAAACACAGTGACTGTCAGTTAATGTCTGAAGGCACAACATATTCAGGTTTTCCCCCCAAAAAAATACAATATTTCTACCAAGCAGTTAACACGGCTATTTTAAATAAATGGTTTCTGAATGTTAATTTATTTGTTTAAAGATCTACTGTCGAGGAAAAGTAGTATTCTTGAAGCAACCAGCCAGAGATGATTACATCGATGTTTCTTTCGGTGTTACTGTGCTGACACTGAGTCCAAACCTTTTGCTGTGTTTCAGGTAAAGAGGAAACCACTGAAGGGGAAATCTAGACCGTAGCGAACAGGCCGGACTCTGCCTCGTTCCTCCGCTGCGTTCATGCTCCTCTGACTCTAAAGCTGTCCTGGACACATTATGGACCTTTCTTAAAAACACACACATGTACACACACACGCAGACACAAATCTCTGACATCTTAGAAGGTTTTAAATACCTTATAGTCATGAAGCTCATTGTATGTAGGTCTTACTCAAAAAACATGTTCTTTTTCCCCCTGTTTGTTGCTCTTTGCTTCTTTTGTGGAGCCATTTTAAAGAAAAAAACAGGATGGACATTTTACAAACGTTTTAATCTGGTTGATTGTTGCTTATTAAATTCCCTGGGGAAAATCCTAATGTCTGTGTATGTCTCCTGACCTCTTCCTCCTCGAGTCCGTTGCACAATAGTTTTGTTTATTTTGAGCTCACTAGTGTTACTTGCAGTTGTATTTTGTAAATACCCATGTTCAACTTTGCAGTTGAACCTTTTGAATATCCAAAGCGGTTACTATGGCTGGAATCCGGGATCATCATAGCATAAGATTTGTGCATTTAGCAGCTGTCCCAACACCAACATTTTATAAACTTTAGTATGTTTAGACTTCTAACAAGTATGTTGAGGTGCTTTAGCTTGACTATAGCACCTCAAAGTCCAGGAGAAACTTGGGCCTATTAACTGCCACCTGTAATGCTTTTAAAAGCCTTTTGGTTATTTCTAGTGTTTGACACATTTAAGCGGTCAAACATTTCTGGATACTTTGCTCCAAGCTCCATTTGGCCCAAGCTCCATTTGGCCCCTCCTCCCCTCTGAAATCGAGCTGGGTATGAATTACAGTTTGGTTTTGTACTGCTGAAGTATGATTTAGTACTTCACTTTTGAATGCATAAATGATATATTACTATACTATGTGTTCAGATTTGTTCTTTTACAATTAAATCTTTTTTTGTACTTCAGATGTTCGGCTGGGTAAAGCTTGCTTTTAAGTAACTGGGTGATTTGAAACCTTGCAGGATGCGTTGATGAATTATTTTGACTGTAGTTAAAGTATGCCTATTCTCATGATCATATTTAATTTTTTTCCAGAAAAATAAATGCTCTTAGATGTTACCATGCAGTACATTTGTCTTGATCAGTGTTTATGGAGTGCATTTTTCCAAAAAGATGACAAAGAAAAATAGATTTTCCACTTTTTTTTTTTAATCAAAGAAACATGACACTGTCACAATAAATAACCATGCTTTTGATACTGCTGATGCTCACTTTCAAGGAAACAAGAGGAAAATAAGTCTCAATCCAAATGGAGAAACTGAGATGCAAACAGCCCCTTATCTAATGCTTCATCGTGCAATATAGTACATAGTGAGAAAAACCAGGGAGGGGGCTTCATTCCTATTTTTTGTCCTTCCTTTTTTCTTACAAAATATAGATCCAGCCATCAATGGTGCACTCGTGAGTCGTGACACAGCTCTTAAGAACTGGGCTATTTACAATGAACAGAAATGGTGCGCTCCTCTACCTCTGAACCGTGTTTCTTCTGGCTCTGTCTGGCGGGGAATTCACTGGAGAATAAAAGTACTGTAATATGCCACTGCGTTGGTAGAGCAAAAGATATTTCCTATTTTTAAAAGAAGCCATGTGAGGATTCATTGACACCCCACTTCCCTTTATGCTGAGCATTTCTTCATAGTCCTTGTACCTCAAATCTAAAATGTCTGAAAACACTGCAGGCCTGCTATGTGCTTCAGAGTGCCAGCCTATTTTATTACTCATAACACAACTTCCATGAACATTTTATTTGGCTGAGTAGCAAAGCATGTCTGGTGGCGAGCGATAACCCTCTCTAAAATGTTCTACATCAGCAGGACTGAGGGTGAGCAGGTCCTTGATACGTGGCTGAAAGTGATTCCTCTGAAATCAACAAACACGGCATTGCAAACTCAAAACAATTGATGAAATTCAGAATCACTATTTTCTGCTGGTGCCGTGCAAATCTGTTCAGAAGATTTTCCACCAACACTCAACAGAAAAGACTGGTTCCCTACGGATACCACTGGGAGAGCTTCCAGCTGTCTCTCTTCAGATTACAAAGTTATGTTGAAATGAACAGACACCCCCCCATCACCACATCGCTTGGCCAAATAAAATAAAAGGCAGCAGAGAGCATGCAAAGAAGAAAAGATGGCATGTTATGACCTCCAGGGGCCTGAGCGGGCTCTCAGCTCCTGTCCCACTAGGACCAGGATGTTGCGTCATCCCTAAACAACAATCTTAGTAAAAAGAAAAGAAACGGGCCATTCAGAGGGCTTTCTCGTAAATCACAAAGCATATAAACATATCTCTCCGTATAGTTGTAAACTAGGCATAGTTTATATTTAAAATAATTTGTTCTACAATGCCATGTAAGAAAAGAAAAAGTATATCCCATTGTATTTTCAAATGTACACGCATCTATTTACAGATAACTTCTGTGCAGATGTTTGTGTGATCTTACCTACATCTACAGATTGGAAAAAAAACTGCAGGTAATTAAAGCATCTGAGAAACTGCTCAGGAAAAATCCATTCTATTGCTCTTTGCAGAACACTACCCAGTCCAGTCAATTTAATACAGCAAGACCAGGGTCAACCATTTGCTGGAGAGGGAATGCTGACGTACTCTGAGAGCAGTATGCAGGACTTTGTTGACATTGTTTAAACTCCTCCAGCAATGGCAGTTATTTGATTGTTTGCAATATTCAGGTACAAAGATATGTGGGAAAGAAAGTTTCAGATCCGATGTAAATAATGGGCATGGAATACAAGATGCATGATCGAAGGTGTTTGGTGGTCTATTACAAGTAAAGGTGTTGAGTTAGTGGAAGAGTAGACGGTAATGAACAGGCAGGGTGGTGTGCATATTGGAGATTGTGGTGTTGAGTTCGTAGCAAACCGACTTGTTATAAAGAAGGCTCAGACTGCTGTGGTGAATGGGGGGGGGGGGGGGGTCGTCTGTGTAACACAAGGCAATGGTGGAATGGATGCTGGGGGGGAGCTGATGTTATGACAATGGGAGTTGGGGATCCTCACACCTGGCTACGTTTTAGTTGTTAAGGAGCAGCTCTGTCGCCGTTTCCACATCCCAGGATTTTGAAGACAAGGCTGCTACTACTGCATTCTGTTTGCAAGAGAGAAAAGTTACAAAAAAAGATTGATTTGAGAAAATTGGGACTTGTTAAGAGTAAATGTTTTGACATTTTCTAGACTACTTTGCTTGCTCTGCTGCCAAATAACTATTTTTTTTTTTTTAATAAAATGGTGATTAATATACTGTGTAGTTTTTGTTTAGTCTGTGAAATGTCAGAATACAGTAAAATAAAATACCAAGCATAAGTTTTCCCAGAGCCTAAAGCTATATACTCAAATGTCTTGTTTCCTAACATTCCTATACTTAAAGAGATACTTGTTGATTATTACAGAATCAGAGAATGTCCCCCCATACTGGAAAATTACAATAAAAAAAGAAACCCGTAACTTTCCTGACCCACACCATACTTTGTTCAATACATTGGTTTAATGTGTACAGTAAAACAGAAAGTGCTTCTGACCTTTTCAAAGCCCATGGAACAGAGTTTATCTATTTTGCGGTTGTAGTCTGGAGTGGAGACAGGCGCGCCTGCAAAGACGTGAGACCACTGCCTCGCTGTCTGTTTATACATTTCTGCATTCTGCTTGTACTGAGGATGAAGACAAAGAGCTCAATAACAATTGTTTTTTATATGCACTTTACAAAATCAGCAAACACTAAAAGTAGAGGGAGAGCCACACCGTATTCACGTTTCCATTCAATTGTCAAGCAATTTGCTAAAGCTATGTTTATGGAAATCAGGCGTGTGTGTACAAAAATCTTTCTCACCTGGTTTGCTACAACTGCATCCTGGGGATCATCTGGTTCTGCTGCAGCAAGGAGAGCCTGTAGAGATAACAGCACCGTCCTCAGGGTCATAGCTGCTGCCCTGGGGGGGACAGAAGTCAAGTTGGAGCAGGTGAATGAGGGTGTTTGAGATGTAGGAGACACGCAGGAATTGTATTCATGTGCAGAAGGTCACAAGGCTCAGATACATCTCACTCACCACTGGTCTTTTAAAATGTCCAGACAGATTGCTCCTGTCACAGAACTGATGTTAGGGTGCCAGATCTTAGTGATGAAACGCACCTGAGGAAAACAATGAGTTTTTAATATGCACATACGTTTCAAGTCCTGATCATGTTTGGTAAGATTTTGTCCTTTCGTCTTTACTGTGGTAGCCATAAGTTGCAAATAAAAAACACATTACTACAATAGCAAACAGAAGACCATAAATTACAACAGCAAATGTAAAAATCAAACACAGGGAAATGTCATGAGTCGTGCTCCGCTCTGGAGCCAGGGAGAAGAAGTGAGTCTTTAGTGTTGATTTAAAAAAAAAAAACAGGGTCTGGGCCGACCTCACATGGAGGGGCAGAGTGTTCCAGAGCCTAGGGCCAGCTGCTGCGAGGGCTCGATGACCTCGGGTTTTTTGCCTGGTCTTAGTCACTATCAGCAGCAGCTGATCAGCCGACCTTAAAGCTCTGGCTGGGGTGTAGCGATGGAGGAGTTCTGCTATATGAGCCGTATCCTGCCTATTTAGTGCTTTAAAAACAAATAAAATGAGTTTAAAATCAATTAGGAACCTAATTGGAAGCCGGTGCATTGAGGCCAGAATTGGGGTGATGTGGTGACGCTTTTTGTGGCCAGTGAGAAGACGCGCAGCTGCGTTCTGCACTAGCTGCAGGTGTCTAATTGACAAAAGGTCCATACCCACGTATAGAGCGTTGCAATAATCCAGCCTCGTGGTTACAAAGGCGTTAATAACCCATTCTAGGTCTTTAAGATAAAAACTACTTGGTCTTGGCCAATAGTCGTATAAAAAAAAAAAAAAAGAGCAGGTTTTGACTACGGTGCTGACCTGCTTATCAAATTTAAGCAGGTCAATAATCCATAAGGACAACTGCTTCATGGAAACATTGGATTTTTTATTATATATTTGATTATATAAGCCGAGAAACAAAATGACATTACTATATACATATATAAAAATATATATACATATATCAATATATATAAAATATATATATCAATATTGAAAATGTAAAATGACAGAGTATTTAATGTTTGTGTCTCTGGTTCCTGAACATCTCAGAAACTCCATTCCAGACTGTCTCTTTTACTTTTCATTGTGTCACTCTACTATCACAAAACATTATGGCCTTATTACCGCTTGTAAACTTTGTGAAACGTTATTGAAAATGTTATCCAGCATCAATATTTGTTGAGTATTGTATCAAACATAGAATTAGTTTAGTGACAACCCTATCTTACTAGAGTTAAAGGGCAATTCTGTGCACGTGACGTGACAGACAGTGATAGGAAACCCGGATAAGCTGTTTACAATTCCCATAACTGTACTTCAAGCGGCACCTTCAAGTTCCTCAAAACAGCATATCAACGTTTTTGAAACAAAGATGTTTAATTCAAAACTGCCAAAAATGCTATACCAAGTCTGACAATGTGCAAGTGAAAGACATACAGTGTGTACCAGATGGGAACAAGTGAATGACGTACCTTTGGTGGGTTGAAAGGATACGTTTCTGGGATTTTAATTTCAAGCTGAAATCTGCCACCTTAAGAGAAAAATGTTAGGCATGTCATATCATGTCATTAGATTCTTATGCAAATATCTTGGCCGGTCATTGAAATGCTTGTTTGTGACCATACCTTCATATGGTGTATCTGGAGGACCTGCTATCTCCCCCCTCAGCTCTGTGAAGTTTTCATCCACCAGTTCTACTCTTATCTGGTTTTTACTTGTCTGTGGGTTGAGATAAATGAGAGGGACACAACCCGTTACCCTTGGTGTCACAGTCTTTCATGTCTTGACATGTCTCTGTCAAGTATTACACCATACGTTTACAAACAAACGTGAAGCTACATATATGTGTTGGTTGGTAAAAACGGCACAATATCTGTAATTGTATACCAAAAAACATTGTTCAACGGTACCCGTCTCGACATTTAAATACGTAAACAACACGGGTAGCTTGCTACAAGAACCAAGCTAGCAAAAGTTGACATAACAACAAACCCACAATAACAACATTTGTATGACACGAGCATGACAAAATAACCCCTTAAAAATGTCCGAAACACTAACCTATTGAGACTAACAATTAATTTAAGGTGACGAGTTGGTGAAGGTTGCATCATAGCACCACCGGCTAATGCTAACTGGATGAGATGTCAAAACAACAGTTCGTTAGCAAGCTAAAAGCTAACTCCAAGTGTCACCAACTAAATCTCGTTAGGAAACACACACGGTACCGTGTATGAGGCGTGTGTGTTTCCTCGTACAAGGGAGGTTTTTCCATTATGGCAACGAACTAAAGGTGTGCAGTATTGTTTGTTAGAACACAGGGCCCCTCACTGGAAAGGCTGAATCCCCGGTGTTTCCTGAACACACCCACCTGACAGTGACATCGAGCTAAAGCTAGCTAAAGTTATCCTGTTTAGGCCTGACCTGCTGCAACACACGACTGGGACCTGGCGTTAGGTAATTGGAACCTCTTTCACACACCTCACATGTTGGTTAAGTTGAAAACGTTATGAAAAAAATAGCTCAATCGAAGTATAAAGATATCCACAAACGTTACCGCACCTCCTCGCTTTTGAGAACTTCTTTGAACTCCCGCCTGATCCTCTGGACCGCGATGTTAGCCATGGCTGTGTCTGCTGAACTGCTGCTGCCTCAGACCCGGAGCTCTTTCTCCCTCCTGTGATGACTGTCGGTGTGGGGACTCCCTTCTGCTCCGGTGTGGGGACTGCCTGCTCTGGTGCTTTCCACAGTTATGGAGTCCTTCTTTCACTTTCACCGTCTTCTACCAGCGACTGCCAGCCAGCGCTCAGCGTCATTCAGTCCAGAACACGCACTCACACAGTGCAGCTAAATGTAGTAGAAACTCGAAGTTTCATTAATGGTTCCAGCAGGTATATGCATGAATTTATGTTATTTTCAAACTTGCCATCAGGACATTTCTCATCATTTGCTGAACCCATCTGATTTCATTTATGGAATGTGACTAATTACATACCAAAGTATTATTATGTGTGTGCAATGTTTAACTCGCTAATATTAATAATTGAACTTTACCTCCTAACTTGTCACTTTAAATATCCACTTAATCGTAGTGTCAACTGTCAACGGTTAAGGTATACATTAAATCCTCTGCAAACAAAATGTTAATCACCACATAATAAGAAAAAATAGAACAATCTCCCTTTATTTATGATGTTGCACTTTTAATGTATGTAGTTTTTACATGTAGATGTCTATTCAAGTTACCTTCCAGCAGTGTACGTTGTTACACATTCGTACAGATGTTAGATATTGGAAAAATATAGAAAAGTAGCTGCAACACATATAATAAATGATGTACATACAATAAGAATGATAAACGAAGGTTACATACAAAATTAAAAACAATACAAATTATATTACAAATGGTATTACTTTGTTTTTGTTAATAACCTGACTGTTTTAAGTAGAGAATAAAGCTAAAGTAGTAGATTAGAAATGGTCTGTTTGTGAATTTAAAAAACTGCATAATTAAAGCGCAATCATGTACAGATGTTGGGGCCAGACTGTATAAAATAGGTTGGGGCCTTGTATATATAATGGGGCTCGATTCATCTGTCTCTGCGTAATGATCTATACATCCATGGTAATGATAGGAAGACTGTTTGTTTACTTTCCAGTCGTTTTAGACGTACCTTACTGTGATTTGCCAGACGACCTGTCCATCAAACGTCTAAACCAATAAGAGACGGTTAAATCGTTCCTGTAGCTCCCGGATATCTGTCGCTGGTTGGCTCCTGGCTCACGTGCACCAAACAAATCACAGACGGTAGATTGACATTTCTGCAGTCTGATGGTTTCTGTGCAGAACAACAGAGCAGACAGGCCCTTAAAGACACCTAACGTCCTATCAACATCAATAAGGCGCAAGTAAGTTGTGTTTCGATGCCTTTTGCGGTCACATCTGTCTCTAAATTATATATTCATTTGTATTATTCGAGAAAAAAACACAACGCTGTACGAGTCTTCTTTGCTGACTTGGTTAGCAATGAGCTAGTCTGATGTTAGCTAAATTAGTTCGAGAGCAATATTATATGATTGTCAATGTAAGCGTTGGTTAGTAAAAGGTGCCACTCTAGAAATATGCAAGCAGACACCCATGTAAAATACAACTTGTTCTTTTTTTCATGTAATACAACTCGGTAACAAGTGAGATTGTTATTGAGTCGAAATGTAGCCATGCAAGTTAAGTTAAAATAACGTGGCAATTGTTTGTTTTTGTTTTAAGATTTATATTTTCGCTTTATGTAGTCCAGCTGATTGACCGCTACTTCCTTGTATAATTCTAATGTTAGAATTAGGCTATACTGAATAGATTGCAATACATACATGATGAAAACACAATGTCCCGATACACTGCAAAGAATGACACAAAAACTGGGCAAAGACGAGACAAAATCTCAATGAAATAAATACATGGACAGCATCAGAATCCACTCATAAAATATCCAATAATATATCGTGAACAAAATGTCCAAATATATTTATATTCTCTGTTCTTTGTGTAAACTTTTTAAGTTGGTCAAATTAAAGTGCCATCGCTGCAGAGCAAAAATGTGATAACTTTTGACTGGCTACATAAAAAATGGTGCCAGCCCTCACGTTAAGCAAACACCTACTTAACATGCACCGCTATAAAACTGTCTGTTGACTGTACTAAACTGAGCAGTCTCCTCCCTCTAACCTGTGTGTGCACAACACTGACTAGACGGAGCATTAGACATCTCTCACTTGCTCATGAACATCTGAGTTAAAAACAGTTCTTTCATTTTGTTTTAGGGTGGACAACATCTGGTGAGAAATGGCAGAGGGAGGCTTTGACCCTTGTGAGTGCATCTGCACCCACGAGCACGCTATGAGGCGACTCATCAACCTGGTAAGTCACGAGTGTCCTTCTCTGTCACTTGAAATCTTACGAGGCAGACTCATTACAGAGTGAAGGTAAAGTGACAGGTATTCCAAGTATGCAGTAAGTAAAAATATCTTCCGTTGAAGTGGAGAGAAGGCAGCAAAGAGAGTCAGGCATGAAGGAACTAGCAAGAAGAAGGAAATGAAAAGCTACCGACTGACACTGAGCCACATATCCTGGTTCCTGCTCAGTATTTACCTTGTGATGCTATCAGTTCTGCCTTACAGAGAAGTTAAACTCTGACACACTTTGTGTTATCACAAATGCATTTTGCTTGTAAATACCCCCAGCACTTTTTAAATGGAAAGTGTGTTGAAGTAGATTAGGTTGAAGTTATTTAGAGAACGTACTTTAAAGGAGGAGTACAGATTGTGATCATGTTGTGTCAGTTTTCAAGTGACCTCATTGGCTCTTTTGTGCACAGGTGTAACTTGCATGGCGAGCTGCAGTTGGCTTAGAGCTTGAAGCAACCCTAGGGGTTTCTGATTGGCTTGCAACAGGAAAGGGTGTTGTCCAAATAACCAAATCATTTACACAGTATTTGCCAGTCAGTACTATACAATGTTTGTTCGGAAGGAAGCAGAACTCCGATGTTTGTTTTTTCGCACTTTCCACATGTGATTATGTGCTGTTGTTAAAAGTAGGTTGTGACTTTGTTATTTACTTACACAATAGGTGTCATCTCACAATGAACTCCTGTGGATTAGCCTATTTGTTATCAGCGGTGTCTTAAAAGTCAACCTTTGTTTTCCCTCTTCCTAGAAGAGAGAACAATGGTAAGCAGAGAAAGTGAAGCCCCTCTCTCCATGAGAAAAACAAACAATTTACACACTCTAAACCCAGATGTTGTCTTTAATTGGAAAGGTTACAACCTGCATTACTTTCTAGAATAAATGTCTCTGCAGTAGTCATATTATTTAACAACTCCAGCTCCTATCCTACTGAAACACGACCGAAAACACATTTTCTCACCATTACGCCACAATGCTATGTAATGTGCATTGAAGTTATTTTCTGCCAAATAAGATCCACAGGGATATGGACAAATAATATAATTTATTAACATAAAAAAACATACATTTATGCTCTACTTGAAAGCCACCCAACTTCAATCAGACAACAGTCATTTTACCTCATCATTTTAAAAGCACAAACAAACCAATACTTATCAAAGTAGTCTTTCCTCTGTTCCAACAATCACTAACTCTTGTTTGAGAGTTTGAAGGAGAGACTGATAGCAGGTATAAAAAGGAAGTAACAATGCTGCTTCCTAGGCCCTTTCTAATTTCATCAAATCCCCCTCCTCGACTCCTCGGTCCTCCGGTAGTGACTCGGAAATGAATTTTAGCGCGCCATGTTGAAGGACATCTAATTTCTCTAAATGCACTTCGAGGATCGAGCGTCGAGGAGGCTCTCTGGAGGAGCTATAACCGAGGATACACTGATGGGTCCTCCACGGTCCTCCACGGCTCCTTCGTGGATGCATTTCCGGGAACAGAGATGTTTCAAAGAGTCGTGACGCACGGCCGGACTTATCTCAGCCAATGACAGCTCTGCATGCATCCCCTGGATATTATTTTATTAACTGCTCTCATCGCAACGCGATGTTTACAGTGAGAACAGCTGTGAGGTCCGTGCAGAAAGCAGAGCAATGTGTAAAATATATATCACTCAGTATAACAGGCCTACTCTCTTTATTTGCTGTAGTTTAGCAGATAACTACAAACAAAGAGTCCATATTTTTCTAAAACCATTTATTGCTTCACATAATAAAATACACAACGGCTGTAGCCTGATTATATATGCTTTAGGAGCTGTATGTGTGTAGGTGTGTGTGTTGTACAGTGCGTAGATGCAGCGGACAGACAGGTCTCAGTTGGTTTGGTGTCCTCTGCTTACTTTTAATACTTGTAAATACAACTTTTGGCCCGTCATTTATTTCCCTCATTGTAGCGACCAGAGAGAGAGGGGGGGGGGGGGATATATATCCAGTCTCTGATAGTGTTACGTTATTATGAGAGTGCATCATTTCTCTAACCGCCTGCTGCTTCCCCTCCTCTGTCCTCGGCTCCCCTCCTCGACTCCTCCATTCGCATCTCCTGTGGGAGAGACTAAGTCTCGAGGATAGGAGTCGAGGAGGGGAGTTAGAGAAATGAGAAAGGGCCCTAGTGTTTACAAACCTGCATCAATGTTGGTCTGTAGATTCTTGATGTTGAATCTGCCACATAGAAGAAGAAAAAAACAGAAAGGCATACTTGTCAACTTGAGAGGAGTTTATAAATGTGATGAGTTAGGTGGAAAATGAACCAGACATCTTCTCTTGTGTTAAGTCTTCTTTGTTCTTTCTGTAATGTCCCTTTCAGCTCAGGCAATCTCAGTCCTACTGCACAGACACAGGCTGCCCTCAGGAACGTACGTACAACCACATTTGACCCATTGGTTTAGTTTTTTTTAAAGTCTCTTGTATAATTGATTCGGAAACATGAGTGTAGTTAATAACATATGTTACAATGCAAATTATTATTTATTTTTTTCAGTGCCAGCTCCCGGTGGGTCGGTGGGCGGAGGAGGGGAGCTGACCCTCCCCCTGATTCTGATGGGATGGGCGGTGGTTGCTCTGCTCCTTTTCCTGTTGCGGCCTTCCAGTCTTAGGCGTTCTCGTCCCACAGGCAAAGCCTCCGGACCCCACAATGTCAGTATTGATCACGCAACCAAACATATGATTTAAAAATATATATATATAATAATAATAATAATACATTACATTTATAAAGCGCTTTTCCTGGTGCTCAAAGCGCTTACAAGCAAGTAAAACAAAATAACAACAAAAGTAGAAATTGCTAAGCTAGGGGGAATAAGGGCAAGGGGTTAGTTGATTAGGAGTAATATAAATATATGTATATATAGGTTCAGTACTGCTCTGCCTTCAAATGATAATGAATCAAAAAATAATTACACTTACTTACTCAAAGAGACACAATTTGCCTGTATGAGGATATAGGTGCTATATATAATATTCCGAACATTTAATATAGCATTAAACAACTACTTGCCATGTAAGGATATAGTGGAGTAATGACTACATGAGCAGTTTCAACTTCTCAATGATAATAATATTACATGTCAAAGGTTTCTGATAAAAAAGGCCTTAGAAAGTGTCTATGTGAACGTTAAATGTCAATATTTCCTGGCTCGTTTGATCTAATATGAGTTAGTAAGTTCTGTTTTGTGATAGTTAAGTTACAGAAAACAACATTCTAAAAAAATACAGAAAGCATTCACATATTGTTATGATTCAGTTGTTTGGTCAATATTTGTAAAGATAAGCAATTATCTATCTTAGTGAAAAGGTGACATAGTACGGGTAGAAGCAATACAGTTAAAATGAGTAATATCATCACAGTATTTGTTTCATAGTTTGCTACTTGATATCATCATCAAAACTGTATGTTTTCCATTGAAAATACTTATAATTGTCTTGTCTTGCAGAGCGATAGAAGAGAGCCGCCAGCACCACCTGTTGACTAACAGTGGAGAATACAGCCCCCCCCCAGCAGCTCTGACGGAGCTGCACAGCTAGCAAGGGACCGTGACCAGGACAGTGCCCCCTCCCCTCTTATTTAAATATCTTTTGCTTTTCTACCATTTTAAAGCAGTTACATTTTGGGGTGGATCTGTCTATGATTCATGTAACTAGAGCCCAACTGATAGACAATTGATGACTCCAATACAGTTATGATATTTCTAAATGATCTAAGATCTAAAAATGTATACCAAGTGACAAGGTGTAGATAAAGGCAGGTATTACAATTTTGACCTATAATATTGACCGACAATATCAGAATGTTGATATAACCATTGGGCTCTATGTGTTATTTACCTCAAGTCTTTAATCAGAAGTTGAGGCTTTGTTCTAGGTTCCTGATCTCAGCTCTGATGCTGACTGATCTGCAGTCGCATGAACTCTAAATGAAGGAACATGTGTTGGTGGATATGAGAGGGGAGGTTACGTTTTGGTTGAAATGCTTGCTGAGTAATAGAAGGTTGCGGGTTTTCTGAAACATTCCTCTCTTTCCCCTTTCAAGTTACTAGTCCAAACGGTGCTAGTTATGATGTCATGTTGACTAATGTTATTAAAGCATATTCAAAACGGCAATATTATTCAATGGAATAAGTTCATATGGATGCATTGAATTCAGAATTAGGTTTACAGTTATATGGCATATTGATTTAAATGCAACAAAATCATCTTCTATGTTTACATCCAAGCCTTAGTTATATAATGTATTACAGAAAATAGTCTGGTCTGTTACATTAACTTAATTTCCATAAAAATGTATGACCATTGATTACTGTCCCTAAACAAGTGTATAAGACAGCAGTGCTGGATCTTAAAGAGTCTGATTAAGAAGATAAAACTCAAGTCAAACTTATGACACGTAGTTGAAATGAACTGAATTGTAGGCGTACAGTTGGGGTGTATTGAATGGAATCATTGTAAAACTATTTACTCAGCACAAACATTTTAATCCCTGTACTGTAATTATTCTGTGGCTGAAAGATACAAAAACGGAATTGTGTACTTGAATAATGGTAGCAGAAAATTATATTTTATTAGCACTTTTGTTGTGGTATGTTTCCTTATGAAGGTGTGTACTGATTCAGGTTTTGTTTTCTCACCGGGAAATGTAATGGGAACAATTTTAAGTTTATTCTACAACTTCTGTATGACGATGATTTCAAACCAAGTTAAAAAGAAGGAAGCAAGGGCCAATTTGAATATTAAGAGTGGATTCCAATTTAGAAAAAAAAACTGCTCTTGTGAAAGAACAGCAATATTTGATTTTTAATTTTAAATGTTAGTTCAGAGGGATTTTCTGTCATAATATATGATAATATAACAATGTTTTTTTTCTTACAGGATTTGTTAATTTTTCTTGAACCAGAGCTCTACTATAATAGTCATGTTATACATTCTGTCAGCTAGATTAAAGGTGAATATGTATCTAAATCAGAACAATATGGTGGTGGATGTTTTCTTAACATGTATGTAAAGGTGGGTGAAAATGTATAACCTAATACAACTGCACGACAAACTGCAGCCTCAAATAATTTCCCTTCTTTGATTGATAAAAAATATGAACATTACAATTGGTGGATTTTGTATGTAATATATCTTCTATTAGCTATTGGATTGTAAAATATATGCTTAAGGGTTTCCTGTTTTGCTGGTCACTGACTATCTGTGTCATGCCACTGTCATGGCAACATGGCTATTAAAGTGTAAATGGGCAGTGGATTATTATCTTGGGTCCCAGTGATATCAGAAAATGACATCGAGTTACTCTTAAAATTAAAATGTATTTCTTGTTACATTGTGTATACATTTTAAGAACATGGATATGATCTGTAAAAACATTTTTAGGTGGCTAGATACTCCTAATTCCCATCAGCCAATAATGCCCTCTTAAGACACTGGTGATTGAAAGTAGAGGTGAAGATAGAAACCTCAAGCAGTTGTATATAATTAAGGGAGAAGCCATGCTAGATAGTTGAGATTACCTAGTGAACTATCTACCACAGGAGACCTTGAGTTACACTGTTTTTGTCTGAGAGAAAAAAGGGCTTCAACTATGCACTTTTCCCATAACAAAATAAAAAAAATTATTCAGTCTTATTGCCTGGCTATGTTTATTCATAATCATGCACATTCCTGCATTCATTCAGGAAGATAAACACCATATCTGTATTGAAAATATTATTTTCTGGCTTCTAATCCTTGAGAAAACATTGAAAATGCATTGTTCCACATAGACCAGAGGCACAGCCATATGTGAGTCACCAAACTGATTTTTTTTGTTTTAAATCAAGATCTGTATTTTGTAAGTATTTATAACAAATGTGAAAAAATGGGAGTTATCTAAAGAGCAATAACAAATATAACACTATACGACTGTAAAATAGAAGGAACCTTACAATCCCATAAAAAGGAGGTGTGCAGTGTATGTACCGTGAACATTATAGCGATTGCAATGTTTTTTCATTAGTTTTTTACTCATCTTATTCTGAATTTATCAAATCAAAATGTGCAAAACTGCTATCTTCTGAGCATGCGCATTGGTTACACGGAGAAACGGAACTCTCCTCGTTTCCTAGGGTTACCATCAACAAGTCAGTCAGCCCACTGTAGCTAATGTTAGCAAAAAACAGTCTGCCTTTCGATAGAAGCTACCATATCCGAATAACTGTATCGTAATCAGACAACAGGTAGTCAGAATTATCAACGCATATAAGTAATCGAGCTATGTGTCTCGTGCGCATGGGAAACTTAGAAGAGAACCTAGCTACTGGTTGAACACTAGCTAGCATGCTAATCTCAATGAATGCGACCAGAGGAAATTGTTCATAGTTTTCAGAATGACAAATCAGCAGTTCACGACACTGGCTTACACGAAAAGCCCCAAAACATCGAGGAGGACAACATTCCAGGTAACAGCTTTATTCATTGCACTGTCCGACCAAATGAAAAACCATGATTAAACCAACAGCCCCCCAGGGAGGGTCGTGAAGACTCGTTACCTTAACAACAACTTATTTGCTCCTGCCTGCCCACTTTGGATTGTTGTATTCTTTACTGGTTATGTGTATGTTTTCATTGGTTTGTATTCGGAGCAGTGGTGGAAAGTAAATATGCACATTTACTGAAGTACTTGCATTTTAATTTAATGCTACTTTTGACTTCTACTCCAATACATCTCATAGGTACATATTGGACTTTTACTCATCTACTTTAATTAAACATCTTTAGCTACTTTTCAGAACTTTTAATATAATGCATCTCTAACAAAAAAAGCTAGTGGAATAACTGTTTAAGATGCAAAATATATCCAACATATACGTCACCAACAAGTCAATATTTTGCATCAGAACTTTGTTTGTCTACCAGAGTAAAATGCTACTTGATGCAACAATATTATCTAATAATGTCTATTATATAATAATAAATCACACATGGAGGCCATTTTTCTGCACAATTAAGTATATTTTGCTGATAATACTTTTGTACTTTTACTTAAATACGTTTTTCAATGCAGGACTTTTACTTGTAATGGAGTCTTTTATCATTATTGTATTGTATTATTCAAGTAAATAATCTGAATACTTCTTCCCCCACTACTTTGGAGAAGCCAAAGACACATTTCCAGTGAGATGGACAATAAAGTCAATTTGAATCTAATCTGACATTATGGCGTTGCAGGATGAACTTCAGGCTGCTGTGTCTGCCAGGGCTAGCAAAACCGAAACAGACCAATACTCCTACTCTGATGACTTTAATGAAGATGAGGATGGTAAGAAGACAGAGCATTAAAATATCTTGATAAGTTTGGATTGTGCAAGTGACCCTGAAGATTTAGATCTCTTAAGTGTCTTTGTGTACATTATATTTGTGTTCTATCCAATGTACTGTACTTCCTCTTAAGACATAAGTGTTAAATAACATTTGTTTGTAATTATTTGGCAATTGATATAGTTTGTTGCTTCGTCCTAGCCTGTCATCTCCTTTTCTTTTCACACAGATTTTTTAAATCAACTCCTCAAATCAAGAAAAGAGAGGGCTAGGGCTTTTAAGGCTGGGAAGAGTAAATCCAAAATCAACACCTTCGAGGTTTCGGACGATGAGGACAAACACGGCAGGACAAAGAGAGTTTCATTTCTGAAATCCAAAAGAATTGACACTCCCTTGGAAGTAACGACGGCACCAGAGTTGGGAGAAAACGATCCGTCCGACACTTCCGACAGTCGACATAACAATTATAATGACTCATTATCCACCCAGCGCTCAACAAACGTTGGTGAAGATAACGTAAAATATAAAAGCAGTTATGGGGAGACTGCTGATCCACATATCAGGAGACAGAGCTCAGTAAAATCTCTGTCGTTCCAAACATCAGATGACACTCTACCGGACATGCTATTGCCCTTACCATCTGACAACAGTGTGATTGAAACTCCAGTTCCCGATGAGAACAGCAACTTGGAAGAAAGTTACCAGAGTGCGCAGTTATCAGCAAATAACCTGACACATGTGTCAACAGCAGGTCTGTGTACACCGTTTTAAGTATTAATCACAAGGGGAACATTAAATGTGACTTGGGTAGGATTTTTAATGTATTTTTTTTAACAAACTGTCATTATTTAAATACAGAGAGGGAGCCACCCAAGCCTAAACCGAGGCAAAGGACTCTCGGATTGAGCCTCCACCCTAAGGAGAAAATAGCTGAAAGTGGTGATTCTCAGGAAGTAAGCAGGCCCCAGACTTCTTCTGCATCCATTCCCCTCTCCACTGACTCATCCAGCAACAACACTGTAAGGACACTCATCTCTCATTGTTTGATTAGTCAGTATTTTAAAGGGATAATCCAACCCCTAATCAAAAATACATATTTGTTCTCTTACATAGTGCCATTTATCAATCAAGATTGTTTTTGTGTGAGTCTACCGAACTACACCTGCAAACATAGAGGCACACTTTTTTCTGTGCTGTGATAAGGTTGGCAGCTGTAGTTCAGTAGAAAGAAGATAGCTGACATTTAGCACTACTGTTAAAAGGAAAAACATGATTTATTTTGGGGTGAACGGTCCCTTCTGAATTTATAACGTCTTCTCATTGCTGCCCATTGTTGTTATGTTTTTCACCGTAGTGGACAAAAGGAGATAGCGCACTTTCATGCAGCTTCAGCAAATCTTTTTCAAGCAAGAGTGAACAGTCACAGCTCTCTTCAAAGTCCACTATTGATTCTGGATCCCGAGGTAATAACTGGTATATTCAGCATCAGCACCATAACCTTTTTTTTTAAAATAGTATTTTTAGCTTATTAATCCTACTCATATTTCTTTCTTTTTTCTTAGATGACTTTATTTCTGATGACAGCAAAGAGCAGGAGAGCAAGTACTCCACATCATTTGAAGAGTTCAATGTAAGTCCTTAATCATCAGGTGTGACTGTGGTTGCAAGTGACACGTCAGAAGTGCTCGGCCTCTTGTTTTGATTATTAGTCTCAGTAAATGTGTCTATTATCTTCTTTCAGGCAGGATCGGGAGATGCCTCACATCAAACTTCTCATGTCCGTGAAAAATCATTTGATACCAGGTTGGCTACAACAATGGATACTTAAATAACACTTTTTTGACAGAACACCGTAGTAACTTAACTAAATGTCATGTCATTTAAATTAGGACATCAAGTTCTCTTTCAAAGACTACTCAGAGATCTCAGAGTGCCTGCTCCAGAAATGTGGAATCAAAATATTTGGGATCGCTCAAACTTCTGGATCGTAAAGTCTCACTCCAGGAGTCTCAGCCTCAAACAGCAGATTCCATCCGAGCTGCCATTTACCAGGTCAGTGTGAAATGAGACCGTGTTGAGAGCCACATTGCTACAGTTGAAAATGTTAAAGTGTTCAATGTTGAAGAAAAATATACAACCAGTGCAGTTTCTCTCTTAACCATACTTCATTCTGTATTGATCGTTATGATTACACTCTACCTCTTTGCATTTTGAAAAAACAAAGTCATTTGCTCAATTCGATATATATATTTTTTGTGTTTTTAAATATATATAAAGAATGAGACATAGACTTATTATATATATATACATTTATATTCTGTGTAATATATATATTTACTGCATATCTTTTTTTGTCCAAGACCTTGATAACCTGCTGCTGTTGTAACATAAGAATTTCCCAGTTTTGGATCCATAAAGGACATCTATCCATCCGTCTATCCATCCGTCTATCCATCCGTCTATCTATCCGTTTATCCATCCGTCTATCTATCCGTCTATCCATCCGTCTATCTATCCGTCTATCCATCCGTCTATCTATCCGTCTATCCATCCGTCTATCTATCCGTCTATCCATCCGTCTATCTATCCGTCTATCCATCCGTCTATCCATCCGTCTATCTATCCGTTTATCCATCCGTCTATCTATCCGTCTATCCATCCGTCTATCCATCCGTCTATCCATCCGTCTATCTATCCGTCTATCCATCCGTCTATCCATCCGTCTATCCATCCGTCTATCCATCCGTCTATCCATCCGTCTATCCATCCGTCTATCCATCCTTCTATCTATCCGTCTATCCATCCGTCTATCTATCCGTCTATCCATCCGTCTATCCATCCGTCTATCCATCCATCTATCCATCCGTCTATCCATCCGTCTATCCATCCGTCTATCCATCCTTCTATCTATCCGTCTATCCATCCGTCTATCCATCCGTCTATCTATCCGTCTATCCATCCGTCTATCCATCCGTCTATCCATCCGTCTATCTATCCGTCTATCCATCCGTCTATCCATCCGTCTATCCATCCGTCTATCCATCCGTCTATCCATCCGTCTATCCATCCGTCTATCCATCCGTCTATCCATCCGTCTATCCATCCGTCTATCCATCCGTCTATCCATCCTTCTATCTATCCGTCTATCCACCACCGTCTATCCATCCGTCATCCATCCGTCTATCCATCCGTCTATCCCCCTTCCATCGTCGTATCATCAGTCTATCCATCCGTCATCCTCCGTTCTATCCATCCGTCTATCCTATCCGTTCTATCCATCCGTATCCATCCGTCCTATCTATCCCGTGCTATCCCATCCGTCTATCTATCCGTCTATCCATCCGTCGATCTACCAGTGAATTATCTTATGTCAACTAATATTCCCCCTTTACGTAATGTATTCCTCACAGGAATGGCTTGAAAAGAAAAAGAAAAGTCAAGAGAGAACAGTGCAGCAAAAGAAGCAAGAGGACATCCTTAAAGAGAAAAAGAAAAGGGTGAATAATCAGTTCGTAAATACAGACCCAACTTTTTGAGAACAATATTAAGAAAACAAGTTATTTTAACATATATGCATCTTTTAAATACTAAACAGGAAGAAGAGGCTAAGAAGGGAGATGCTGTAGCATCATATGAGGCTTGGAAAAAGCAGAAAGCACAAAGTCTCAAAGCAAAAGCCAAAGAAAAGGAAGATGCGATCATGAGAGAGCAAAGAGAGATTGAAGGAAAACAAGAAAAAATGCAATCTGCTAAACAGGTACATTTATTTTTTTATTTTTTTGTTATTCTGAAAGCTACCACAAACACTTCTGTGGGAAGATATGCTAATCAGTCATGTTGTAAAAATGACAGGTGTTTGAACAATGGAAACTCGAACATGATCATCTCCTCAAAGAAAAGTCCAGGAAACAAAAAGAAGCTGAAAGTAGACTTCAGTTTGGAAAACAAGAAAAGGAGAAAGAAAGGAAAAATGACAGCAAATCTGCCGTTTCTGGTTGGTGAGTGAAAATCCTTTTCTTTTCAGGGAAGGAACACTGGCTGTAATGTCTAAACAGTCAAACCAAAACAGTCCGACAGCTACTGACGCTGCACAATGTGAGAACGCCTACCAAAAGATTACACACTATCACTTGGTCGCTAGAATGGCAACATTGCAGAGTTTTTGGTCATAGAATGGATTGTTCTGTACTTGATTATAAACATTTTATTGGTGTCTAAAGGCAATTGATTTAACTTTTTTTTTAAATCTTAAAGCTGTATGTGGATATAAGTCTTGAAGCAACACAGTATTGTACCATCAGACTCAAACCTATCTAGTGATGAAATTGATCAACCACTAGATGGTAGTCAAAGCGTAATGTCGAGACACAATTCATAATTTTCTATCACCTCTAATCTGTTGTTATTTGTTTTTCCCCAAAAATGTTTTAGGCATGATAAGAAGAAAGATGTTTTCCATGAAATAGTGACAATGAAGCGTAAAGAAATACAAAATAAATCAGAGGAGGAACGCTACATGAAAGAAGAGAGAGATAAAATGGCTTTAGAGATGTATGAAAGCTGGCTGGTAAGTACAATTACTTGTGGCACCAGTGACGAATGGCATTGATTATATCTAAGGAATCTGGAATGGTTAGTAATACTGATAAGTGATTTCCTTTTTTTCCAACAGGTACGGAAAGATCTGGAACAGAAGAGACAAAAAGAAGAAAGACGAATACAAACGATTCTCCGAGATAGCCCACCTCCTCCATGGAGCCCTCCAAATAAAACCGTACCATTTCGAAAATAATATTTTTACATTACATTACATGTCACTTGTTAGACGCTTTTCTCCAAAGCGACTTACATAGCCTACTCAATACTGTGGGCAATCCCCACAGGAGCAATTTGGGGTGAAGTGTCTTGCCCAGGGACACAACGACATGCTGACTGTAGTGGGGTTTGAACCTGTGACCTCCTGATCCGAATACCAACTCACCACACGCCTATTTGAATTGAATATAACCCCCTTCAGATATCTGTCGCTTCTGAGATACCTTTTTCATTGTACGTGTTGAACTGTTTGTTGTGTTTAACAATTGATCATGGTAACAGTTAAATTATATATATTAGCAGCTCTAGTGTAAGTTTAATTGTAATGTGTTTTATATGTTGCATTATGTTTTGAAAGTTGTTTTTCTGTGACATGGTGACATGTCAAAACCAAAGGAAACTAGCAATAAAAATAAACTATATATCTATGTTAGCCATGATGTTAGCATGTTATACAAATTAATTTGAAGCAGCAATAGGAAAACTACGACTATATAAGGCTAATTTGTCTGAACAATCTTCTATTGTTCATGGCTGAACTGCTGTTGATGAGTTGTTTTCTTTAAACTACAAGACCCAACAACATCACACAATCTTAGAAACAGATCTCTTTAACATTCAGTGCTTATTTTATGTTAAACATGATTCATTTGTTGTATTTGTGTTTTTTCTCACTGGTTTTTTTTATTCCTTTTTTTGGAGTCACAGTGTACAGTTTGATCAATTAACAGGTCGTTCTATTAAAGTGACTATAGCAAACTAAATAAATAACAAACAATAAGTACAACATTAAAGGTAAAAAACACATTGTCAACCACTGTTTTGGGTTATACTAAAAAAGTGTTTCTATTAATTTGTGTAAATGCTGCTTTGGTGCTTTTACTCTGAAAACCCCGCACCGGAAGTGTCTCTTAGCTGCTGCTGGGCGTCCTGCTGATTGAGGTGGTATCATAGGGTGGTATCCATATAGGCTGTAAGGTAACGTTACTTGCTGAAGTACTTCAGTTTAGGTAAAGGTACTGCAGGAAAAGTTGAGTGAGAGACCCTGATGGTGTGAGTTTGATCAACGAGTACACGTTTACATTTAGTTAAAGACGGTTATAGGTTTTTAATCCATCACCGGCTGCGGAACCGAAGACTCTTTCGACACAGCTAACATAATCTGCGCATTCTTCAAGTTGACTGACTGTCGAGTTGGCAAAGGTAATGTAACGTACGCTAACTGCTAGCTAGCTGCTTCATTCAACACAGACCTCCATTCATTTGTTTCTTATTACTCTGCTCAGTCACCGTTATGAAAGATGTAAACTACCGTAATTAGTGTCCTGTTAATGTGTAATGTATTGGTACCCTACCAACGCTGACACCTCATCTGCAGCACTTCTACCGTGAAGTAACTGAAAGGTAAGAGGGATAAAAGGTCACTATACATCCGTATTAGACGTGGCTGATCTGCAATGAAAGGCTCTTTATTTCCAGTGTTCTGCAGGGCTGTGACGGTGCAACTGGTAGTGTAACACTGACGAGTCAGTGAGCAAGACTTGAACAGGAGAGTTTAATAATGAAGATCAAAGTGTTAGAAATAAACAAGCGTAACATTTCTGAAGGGGCTTTCCTACTCCTTGTAAAATGTAGAAGGTGGACACTTTTATCACAGTTAAATATACGGACTGCAGAATAGGGCTTCAGCGAATGACTACTTTCATTGTCAATGAATGGGCAAGTTTCCTCTATCAATTTGTTAAGCCCAAGATGATGTCGTAACATTTCTTTGGAACAACCTATAATTTATATTGAGTTACATTGTCACAGACAAGCAGCATATTCTTATAATTGAGCTGGAATAACTACATGTTTGGCATTTTTTTCTTGAAGGTTTATAAAACATAGTTTTAAATCATCAAAGAAAAAATGTGTTGAAGATTAGAGTTAATCACTACATTACATTTCTAATGTTAAAGTTGAAACACGTTTAATTAAAGTACATATAAAGTAAAACGGGGTGTTTATTCAGAACAGATGGCAATATGTCAGGCAAAATGTTCTCTATTTAGATACTGTATCAAACATATTTATGCATTTACCTCAAGATTCATAGGTTTATTGCCATAACATATACAAAACTATGTGTAATTATGTAATGTATGATACACTTTGATCGCAGGTTCCTCATCAGTGCAATTTACAAGACTGTGCCTGTGCAATAATGATCTTTTTAACTTTTTCAATTAAATCATCGCAAAATTATCATGATACACAATTGCTCTTCTGAATTGATAATAACCAGCACATACTAACTCAAAATGTAAAAAATGTGATGTGAAATATTTTGAGGAAATATCATACAGAGACTGGTATTGCTTCACTTTACATAACCACTTAATTCAATGTCATTAACAAACTGGACTCTAACTGGCAACATTTCACAATTCACTCTCAAGCTTCTCTTGCTCTAGTCTACACGGTAATAAGGGTACAGACTTGTGAAGGTCCACTTGTAACCAAAATGTTGTTTAATGTTTTCCAACAGATGATTTACTTTATGTCCAACTACTGCATGCCCACATCTAATAATTTTGCTCATGACTATATCCTATTGTAGTTCAGGGAAACTACTGTTCTAATATAATTTCTCCGTATTTGTGTTCATGTGTGTCTCCATAGTATAGCTGTAAAATATATATTTTCTGCAGAATTTCATTTTGCACTTAAGTGCACAATTAAATGTAAATATTAGAAATTGTTCAAGTACATTTAATTGTACACAGGTATTTACAACATTGAACCTTACAGTGTGGTTATTTCAGTATGTGTTCAAACGTTTTTTTCAGGCATGCTTTACAAAGAAGCATCGGCCGATAGATCATTATAGGATGTTTTTAAAACTCTCAATCCAGTACAGTTACCAAAAAACCTGTCAGGCTATAATTAGTTAATATCTGTAGATAACCGTGTTCCTCTCTCTACATTTTGCAGATGTTTCAGATAAAGAGGATCTGCTGCATTGGGGCGGGGTATGTAGGAGGCCCGACATGCAGTGTGATCGCCCACATGTGTCCAGAGATCACGGTGACCGTTGTGGACGTCAATGAGTCTCGCATCAAAGCCTGGAACTCAGACACTCTGCCCATATACGAGGTAATATATCAATGTAATAACTCAAAGACATTGAGTATTATAACAGCTTTAATTGAACTTTCCAACAGGGAGGGGCTCATATCTTATTTGTTATAATTCCTTATATTCATATCTTCTTTTGAGAGCCATTTGTTTTTAAAGGAGTTGCCTGTGTTATTTGTTGAATTTCTTAACAATGTTGAAAAAGCTGATGTAGCTAGGCATCTTGTCCAGCTCATGTTTCTGTACAATATTGCTCCATTGTGGGATAAATGAAAATGACTTCCAGATTGTTTGGTTTCGCAACCTCTGTACGTCATCCATAGCCACAAAGTATTACATCATCATGACTTCACTAGCGCAAAGGGCAGTTAATGAGTAGTCATGGAGAACTCGTATTATATTTCAACTGTTTATGCCATGTTTGTCCAAGAAATTCACTGACACACCCTCCCGGTCTTTTTTTCCCACTTCCTCTCACTTCAGCCGGGTCTGAAAGAAGTGGTTGAATCATGCAGAGGGAGAAATTTGTTTTTCTCCACAGACATAGACCCAGCCATCAGGGATGCAGACCTTGTGTTCATCTCTGTGAGTCATCGCCGTACACACACATACTGACACACAGTTTGACCGGCTACAGAAATAAATCCGACATTAATGACACATAAGTGAATTTATTGGAGTCGGTCTCCCCCACAGGTCAACACCCCAACTAAGACCTATGGGATGGGCAAGGGTCGTGCAGCTGACCTTAAGTTCATCGAGGCGTGTGCTCGGCGGATTGTCGAGCAGTCTGATGGCTACAAGATCGTCACAGAGAAGAGCACCGTCCCTGTTCGAGCGGCTGAGAGCATTCGTCGGATATTTGATGCCAACACCAAGCCCAGCCTCAACCTACAGGTGTGAAATATTGTCTGAGAATTCAACTCTGTATCCGTTGATCTGCAAGTTCCTAAAGTTCTCGTTCCGCTGCTTTAGGTGCTTTCCAACCCAGAGTTCCTTGCAGAAGGAACAGCAGTGCGGGATCTGAAGGAGCCAGACCGTGTCCTGATTGGTGGAGACGAAACAGCTGAAGGTCAGAGGGCAATCAAAGCGCTGTGTGCCGTCTATGAACACTGGGTCCCTAAAGATCGCATCATCACCACCAACACATGGTCGTCCGAGCTGTCCAAACTGGTGAGTGTAGGGCGGCAACTGACAAATAAAAATGTTTAATTTTTATTAAATTACTTTATTCTTTTGTCAAGAAAATAGTGAAAAATGCTTTTTTGTAATTTCTCAGGCCACATATTTCAATTACTTGCACTATGGGGCCAACAATCAGTAACACAACCTACACGCGGTTCCGTCGCGTTGACGCTTGCCGGTGGGCGTGTCTGGCTCTTGGGGTTAACGAACAACAACCAATCACATTAATCTCCCGCCCCGGACTCACAAAGAGCGCGTTTGATTGGCTGGTGCTTCCTTCAACGCTTGAAAAGTGTAATTTTTCTCAACTTTCACCACAAGCAACGGAGGCAAAGCGAAGCAACGGAACCACAATTCAGTTCGGCAAAGCGTGACGTCACCCCATTCAAAGTGAATGGGAAGCGTCTCCGCTGACGGAACCGTGTGTAGGATGCGTAACAGAGGCATAGTGATGAATGAGCCAAAAGTGACCTAATTGTTTACTTTATATTATTTGGAGTTTCCTCTATTATTATGTCATTGTCGCATGAACAATCTGAAAGAAAAACCTGGTGTTTGCTTGTGTAGGCAGCCAATGCCTTCCTGGCCCAGCGGATCAGCAGCATCAACAGCATCAGCGCTCTGTGCGAGGCCACCGGGGCCGACGTGGAGGAGGTGGCCAAGGCCATCGGGATGGACCAGAGGATAGGGAGCAAGTTTCTGAAAGCCAGCATAGGTAAGAAACTCAGCCAGGTTTAAAGTGAGCGTCTATGTAAAGTCTGATTCATTTAAACTCAGATTAAGTGTTGCTTTCTGTCTCTTTGTTTCTCTAACACCCTGGTCAGGTTTTGGTGGAAGCTGTTTCCAGAAGGATGTGCTGAATCTGGTTTACCTGTGCGAGGTCCTCAATCTGCCTGAGGTCGCCTCCTACTGGCAGCAGGTGAGAACCGCTATTTTCTTTAGGAACTGTACAAGCTAAGAAACAAAGCTAACACCGCGTGAACAGAGAATTCGGTCCGTTCGCGCCTGGTATGCCAGAAGTATCTGAACCACCAAAATTAGGCTGAACTTGGCTCTCCGTCTCTCATGACACTGTTCAAAAAAAGGAAAGGTTACCCCTGGTTTCTGTACTTTTCAGCCGCTGCTTGATGCTATATCCTTGCTACTCGCACCGCGCAATTAATGTCGCTGCAATACTACAATGCGTGGCGGAAAAGTTTTTTTTTTTTTATCATCAATACATTTTATATTTATATTGCTGTGTTTTTTTTATTAAATACTGCCAGGTATGTTTAGTAACCACTCTATAAAAGTTCAAAGTAACTTCCTTTAGGTCACTAAATGCTCTCAAATCCTTGTAAACAATATCTTCTAGTGGTTTATTGCTTTTATTTATGATGTTTCCAGGTGATCGACATGAACGAGTACCAAAGGCGGAGGTTTGCCTGCAGGATCATTGACTGCCTCTTCAACACCGTTACTGGAAAAAAGATTGCTTTGCTGGGCTTCTCCTTCAAAAAAGACACGGGTGACACAAGGTTAGTGCCCATTAATTTGTAATTACTTTCTCACACCCTTGTAGACATTCGACAACTCCCAGTTATTTCATATTTCTTTCCAACAGCTTTGTTATGTTAATTATTAACCTGGGGTTGTTTGTGTGATACACTACTGCAAACATGCTGTGGTGAACTATGGTTCTGGTCAGAGTTTAAATTAGTGTGTGTGTGTGATATCCAGGGAGTCATCCAGTATCTACATCTCTAAGTATCTGATGGATGAGGGAGCCAAGCTGTTCATCTACGACCCCAAAGTCCTCAAGGAGCAAATCATTTATGACCTCTCGCAGCCCAACATCTCCGAGGACAACCCACAGAGAGGTGTGTTTGCGTGCGTGTATTTACCAAGGTTCAAACGCACCCTTTCATCTATTTTTACATAAGAAACAGCAGGGAGTGTGCAGAAAATAAAAAGAGACAGACAAAGGCAAATACATGCAACAAAGACTGGAACTTCAGATTGCGATAACACACAGTATTCAGTGTTTTAAACTTGAAACACAAACTAAAAACTCTCAGAAGTGTTTTGAAGATGAGCAGTCACATTTAGAAATGGCAATTAATCTGCAGCTCCAGCCCCTGAAATTGTTAATAATGCCAGATTAAGATAAGATATAACTGTATTCCCCCGGAGGGCAATTGTTGAGCAATATTTGCAGTTCAAAGATTGCAGTTCAAAGATTGCAAACATAAATGTTTTATAAGGTTTCAATCAAACGTGTGCACAAGGCTAATTGTATAATAGCACACGATGAGGATCATTCTCTGGTGTCGTTCCAAATATTACTGTTTCACCTTTTTCCAACATATTAAAAGGCTGAATGATTTAGAAATATCTGGCGGATTGATCAGTTATAATAAAAAGTCGCCTTTGAAGCAATTTGTATTGGCCATTATGGTCAATGATTGTTATTGAGTGATTCATTAGTGACTCAATTTAGGAGGGAGTTTGAAATCAGGATAACCTTAGTAGTTCCCTTAGCTATTTGGTTTTATTTTTAATGTTTTTAAAGGTAAAACTTCTTATTTTTTGTTACTTATTTGAATCCTAGCTCACAAAATGATTTCTCTTTGCAGTGTCGGATCTGGTGACGGTGACCACTGACCCGTATGAGGCCTGCCAGATGGCCCATGCGTTGGTCATCTGCACCGAGTGGGACATGTTTAAGGTCACAATCACACATTGAGTCCTACCATCTTATAAACTGCTTCATCTTTGGTGGAAAAAATCCTTAAAGTCACCCTTCTCCTCTAATTCCACCATAGGAGCTAGACTATGAGAAGATTTACAAGAAGATGCTGAAGCCGGCCTTTATATTTGACGGCCGCAGAGTGCTGGACCATCTCCACGCTCAGCTCCAGAACATTGGCTTCCAGGTGAGCGGACACAACACACACCACGCTGCTCACATCTCATACATAATCATAATGAACATTTGTGAACCGAGTGCCACAAGTAACGACTGTCTTTCTTTCTGCAGGTCGAGACCATCGGTAAGAAAGTGGTCGCATCACGGATTCCTTACACCCCCGCCGCAGCCATTTGTCGCAGCATCCCCGCCCCTGAACCTCCCACCAAGAAAGCCAAAGTCTAAACCTCCCTCACCTCCACACCCAACACATTCCTCCGTTAACCTTTATATTTCATTCAGGTCCCCCTCATTTTCCATGCCTCATTTAAATAAATTTAAAAAAAGAGCGTGACCAGCTGCTCCCTGCAGTCGGTCTGAGAGGAGGTCGAGCCTTTAGAACAAATGTGTGTGAATGTGACCCAAAAAGAGTTTGGGTCTGTAGAAAGGGGATAAAGCAATGATAAACGGTTTTATTTTTAAGTCAAATAGCAATGAAAACATTTTAGATGCAGTTATACATGCACTGTCTACTTTCTTACAGCATTTACTATGTAATCAAGTATTGTTGCTAAATTGCAATACAATTTTTATAAAAGTATTTTTATAAATCATCTGACTGTAAGTTAATCAGTATTGTCCTCTGTATCAGTGACTTTTTTACTACAATAAAATGTGACATCTCCTTAATGTGTGCCGGATTATTCAGAATTGATGGAAAGAACACAAATAAATGACACATAATTGAAACAAGACAATGTGCACTGATTTGTATGTACATTTTAAAGGTTTATTTTGTCCAAAGAATTTATCGGTAAAATATACGCACTTTTTTTCTCCATGTGTAAAGTTACATTTTTCACATTTAAAAAAAAACTATTGTTTGAACCCAAATTGTCTTTTCATCAGTTACAGATTGTAGAAAAAGTGTGTATCTTTACTTCCGTACTTGGCAAAAAGTCAATTTGTGCCCAACAAACGTTTTTTTAATGTTATAGAATTTTAAAAACAGTGTTCAACAGTGTTACTGTACATATCTTCAGCAAGCAGATGTTAAGTCGCTGCAAAAACCCTCCGACCAAAAGAACCGCTTCATTAAATGTGTCCAGAAGCATCAGACATCAAAGGGCTCATAAACAGAGCTTGGTGAGAGATGAGTGGCTCTGCTCCTGAAGTCCAGGCCCCTGAGGGCGGGGGGGGGGGGGGGATGTGATTTAGCTGCCCCTGAGGTGCAGAGATGGCAAATTACAGCTCTTGTTAACACCAGGTCGTATTTTCTCCTGGCAGCGGTTCATGAACAAAAGCTGCGCCCAGGTTATCTGGAGATCTGCAGCCCTTTCCCTTTGATCCCTCCCTAAAATGTACGACCTGAGTTGTTACGGGTGAACAGGAGAGAACAAAAGCTCAAAAAAGAACAGAACGGTCCCTCTACACTTCAGTACTTCTACACCAGTTGTATTCTCTTGCACACCTTGCTGTTACTACTAATGTTGAACGTTTTTCATGTGCTAAAGCTCACAAAGACTCATTATGGTATAGCAGGAGATATGCTGATGTTGTTATAAGTATGTAGGTATAGGTAGGGAATAAGGGGTCAAGCCTCTAGCAGCTGCTGGTTTGGTGGTTTTCATTCTCCGATGGCGATATCTGTGTTTCTCTTTTTCAGTAGATTCTTCAGAAAGAACTCGCCTGTAAAGATAAAAGACAAAGATAACAAATGATATATATTCTGTCTGACCCATACGAACTTCATGAACAAACACAATCACCTGGACGCATATTATGTTTACTATGACGGTTAATGATAGTTATTAATGTTTCCTGTTGCATTAAAGCACTGGCTAGATTATCTATTTTAGTTTCACAGTTGAAAAGCATCAAAGCCAGGATCCTTTCTAATCATCTTGATTCCCCTAAATGACGAAAAGGCAAATCTTCATTAACTTGTATCATACTACTGCATTATCTTACTGAAAGACATGAACAGCATGAACTCATTTGTATTCAACTTGAATTAAATTGTCAAAATAATGATTATTTTTATTATCAATTCTAAAATGATCGTTTGGAAGCGGAGAGTCCCAGGGTAATGTTTTTAAAACATCAAGTTATTCAGTTTATTATTATTATATAAAACAGAGAAAAGCAGGACATTTCCATATTTGGAGATCTGGAAACAGCATTTACTACAATGTTTGCATGGAAATAATTTCACTGATGAATCGATTATTTAAACCAGCATGCGGTTATTATTATTTTATAATGTAATTATGTCGTCCTGTGCCACTGGATTAAGGTATTTTTTAGGCAGGGTGGAGTGTGTTTCATACCTGCTTTGTAGGAGGATCGCACCAGGGGCCCGCTGGCAGTGTAAACAAAGCCCATCTCATTCCCAACCTTCTCCCAGTGGGCAAACTTCTCTGGAGTCACATATTCGTCCACCTAAACCCAAACACACGTTATCACAATGTGCAATCATTACCAAATGTGCATTTTTATTTCAGTACTGTTACCTTGTATTCTGGAATACATTATAAAGTCTGATGTTTTACCTTTAGGTGGCGTTTAGTGGGCTGCATGTACTGGCCCAGTGTGAGACAGTCCACTTCTGCCTCTCGCAGCTCTGCAACGTCATCAGAACAGTGAGTCAGGAAATTGGGATTCAACGGATTTACCGTCATATGAACAAGTTCTACTGTGTAGTTGTTGGCAATGACAATCTTAAGTTCCAGGCTCTTCTAACATCAACATTTAGTAAATAAGTAAATAATGTACACACCAGTCATGGTGTTGTGTATCTGCTGGTCGGTCTCGCCCAGTCCCAGCATGATGGATGTCTTGGTGAGCACAGAGGGTTTCACCTTCTTAGCGTGCCTCAGGACACTCAGAGACTGGTCGATGTTTGCTCTGGGGTCACGCACAAACCTGCAAACAGATGGACAAAGGGACATCTTGTTTGAAATATATAATCAGAAAGGTAAATTGATATACCCCTAAATTAACAATTTCATTACACATCAAATCCATTGGGTCTTTTCTCTTTTGCACATCTGCAGTTCTAGTGGTATTTATATTAACAGAAATAGCTCAGATGTGCCCCCTACTGGTCAGTGTGTGCATTGACAAGAAACATAAATACAAAAAATTATGAAATATTAATAATGCAGCTTTTACAATTCCAGTATTGTAAAATAACATGAAATGCAATAATAGGGCCACATTGTCAGTGTCACAAACATCATTGTAAACATAGTTTATAGTTCATAGTTTCCTTTTTAGGACAAAAATACTCATTATGCAATTTATAATGACACATCTGTAACATGTTTCCATTATTCAAAAACCTTGTTTTTGTTTTGCTTGATGGCTGAGCACTACAATCAGAGAGCTGATGGATTCACAGCAATCAGGCTTCTCTTAATGTTAAAACTGAGATCAGAGGCTCATCTTCTGACTTCTGCCAATATGTAAAGGACTGGTCAAATACAAAGGCAATATGCTGAGGCACAGTCAGTACCTTTGCAGCTCTCGCACGGTCTCCACATTGTGGGCATACACATCTAACCCTGACAGGGCGATCTTCTCCACTGCTGCCAGGTCACCGCGAAAATCAGGGGTCAGACATTCCACCAGGATGCGGGAGTCCCTGAGATGAGGATGACAAAAGTGCTTATTTAAGGAGGCAAGAGTAAACCCTCTCCTAAAGAAACCCACTCTCAACCCGTCAGATGTTATAAACTACAGGCCTGTCTCTCTCCTCCCGTTCCTGTCTAAAACACTTGAACGCGCTGTCTTTAGACAACTCTCCTGCTATCTCCATCAGAACAACCTTCTGGATCCGCACCAGTCTGGTTTCAAGGCAGGTCACTCCACAGAAACTGCCCTCCTTGCTGTCACTGAGGAACTGCACACTGCTAAAGTAGCCTCCCTCTCCTCTGTCATCATCCTTTTGGACCTGTCTGCTGCATTCAACACGGTGAATCATCAGATCCTCCTTCGCACTCTCCAAGCACTTGGAGTTTCAGGCTCTGCACTTTCCCTCCTCACCTCATACCTCAAAGACCGCACCTACAGGGTTACTTGGAGAGGGTCCGAGTCCGACCCTTGTCAATTAACTACAGGGGTCCCTCAGGGCTCTGTTCTTGGTCCCCTCCTCTTCTCCTTGTACACAAACTCGCTCGGATCTGTCATTAGCCCGCATGGTTTTTCTTACCACTGCTACGCTGACGACACCCAATTAATTCTGTCCTTTCCCCGCTCAGAGACCCAGGTCGTCGCACGCATCTCTGCTTGTCTAGCTGACATCTCTCAGTGGATGTCTGATCATCACCTCAAGCTCAACCTTGAAAAGACTAAACTGCTTTTCCTTCCGGGAAAAGATTGTCCCACTCTTGACCTAACAATCAACATTGGCACCTCTGTTGTTTCCCCGACTCAGACTGCAAGGAATCTGGGTGTGACCCTAGATAACAACCTGTCCTTCACTGCAAACATAGCTGCTACAACCCGCTGCTGCAGATACACGCTTTACAACATCAGGAGGATGCGTCCCCAGCTGACCCAGAAAGCGACTCAGGTTCTGGTCCAGGCTCTCGTCATCTCACGCCTAGACTACTGTAACTCCCTCCTGGCTGGTCTACCTGCATGTGCCATCCGACCTCTGCAGCTCATCCAGAATGCAGCGGCTCGCCTGGTCTTCAACCTTCCTAAATTCTCCCACACCACGCCACTCCTCCGCTCCCTTCACTGGCTTCCGATAACTGCTAGAATCCACTTCAAGACAATGGTACTTGCTTACCATGCTGCGAATGGATTTGGCCCTTCCTACATCCAGGACATGGTTAAACCGTACACCCCAGCACGTGCACTCCGCTCTGCATCAGCCAAACGGCTCGCTGCACCCTCGCTGCGAAGGGGACCCAAGTTCCCATCAGCAAAAACACGTGGGTTTGCTATCCTGGCTCCTAAATGGTGGAATGAGCTCCCCATTGACATCAGGACAGCAGAAAGCTTACTCACCTTCCGGCGCAGACTGAAAACTCATCTCTTTCGACTCCACTTCGAGCAATAGAACTATTAACAAAGCACTTATATACTAATAAAGGGCTGGCTTATCTAAAGCCAGTTGAGTAGCACTTGAAATGTTTTTGCTCTATGAAGCCTGATGTACTTATATGATTCTGTTTTCTTCAAGTTTGTATTTTGTTGGTCGAACGCACTTATTGTAAGTCGCTTTGGATAAAAGCGTCAGCTAAATGCAATGTAATGTAATGTAATGTAATTTATTCCCTTTGCACAGATTTTTAATTAACTAAAATGTTGAATCTGATTCCAAAAAGGATGAGAGATCATACCTCTCCTTCAGGTTGGAGACGGTCTTAGCAAAGTGCTCTGCCCCTCCATCAGAAATGTCTGGAAATTAAAGGAAAATGTGACTTAATAGAACATCCCTGCTGACAAAACTGTGTGGACATTTATATTTTTGTAAACCTTTTTTTAAATCTAATCAAAGAAATGCTGTATTCTGAGAAATCTGAAAAAATAACAAATGTTTTGAAAACATATTTTGTGGATTTATAAGTCACCTGACTTGTTGGAAAACACAAATGTTTCATTGTAATTGATTAATAGTAAAGCTTATATGGTATGTTACTCACAGTGTGTGTTGTTGACATGAGTGCAATAGAAAGTACTTCAGTAAGGATACTGCCAATAAACCCAGCCTGTACATGAATCTTATAAAAAC